TTGCATACGTATACAGTATACTGTATTACTGCATTTTTTAGGGTGGTTAGAATTTTCGAAAACGCATATTTTTGCATGGCGGAAAGAATAAATTCTGTAAAAAAAATACTTATTCAGATTTAGTTCGTGAAACAGTGATGAAATTGCCTTAGATACAGAATGCTGTAACCTGTAAAATTCGTGAAACTGTGACGATCTGAAGCAACAACAAAGACGCAGTAAAATATCTGCATTCCGTGTTTTAATGAGCCAATTATCTCTGCGCGAACCGAAAATCCTGATTTCTAAAATTCATTACGCAGTAATCCTCTTATTACTGGGCCCGATTTTGGGGCCGGAAAAACATCCCGGACTTTTTATTATCCCATCGTATGTTTTTTATGCCGTATTAAAAAAATAATAATCCACGAAAATAATAAACATTATATTTAACTATATATTTTCATTGAGAGTTTGATTCAGTGCGACTAAAAAAAAGCAAAGCTTTCCGTGGAATTCTGAGATTTGGAATTATTTCATGTGTTATTGCATTAACTCAATTTAAAAATGCATTTTCTTTCCGTCGTTGAATTGAAGCCCCCCAAGAATATGCGCAAACATATTTGTGGGAGGATTCGTATCAAAACCATGTAATGATGAATCGGCAATAATCAAAAACGAAATTATGAAATATTCATACGCAGAACCGGACTTGTTAACATTGAACGTTTCGCCAAAACAAAACAAAACAAAAAGGGAGCCCCTTTTGGTTTGAGGTTTTTCTACCCAATTTTCACGCAACGGCGGCCTGACTTTCCGGTATTTTTTTGTTTATGTTTTATTTATTCTTCTCCATCCTCGCTATGTTGTAAAGATGTAAACAGGCGGCCCGCGTCCATCGCTGCCGGCTGAACTTGGACCCGAATCCCACTGACCCACTTCCGGTTAGACGCCATGACACGGGTTTCGCCGGGTGCTGGCCGATGACCGGCTTCATAGATGATGTTGATTGGGTTCTCGCGGTCGTCATTGCTTTGTATCCTTGGGGGGAAATGCAGGCTCGTAATTTGTGATTTTTTCTCTCGTAACGGAAGATACTCCTCCATTACTTTTCCTGGGTTGGTGCAGTATTTAGTGTACAGTATATAAATTACGCCGTCTTCACGTATAATGTTATTTTTTTGAACGTAAGATAATCTCATTAATTTTATCCGCTGTTTCTTGTACTATTTTTAACATTCGCTCGGAAATTTTTTTTTTTTCAAAATTGGATAACTATATGCACAGTCATAGTACTGTACTGTATATATATATATATATATGTATACAGTGAAACCCCCACCTGTGGACACCTTGACATGCAGGTAATTCAACACAGGGACACTTACTTTCCCATAAAAATTAATAAAAAAGGCCCAATATGCAGACACTGACTAGACATATGGACATTGTGTGATAAAATTGCAAATAAGTTTCAGGCCAAATTACAAGAAACAGATATTTCCAACCCTAAAATTGATGCAAGAAAAGTTCTTTGGCATTTCTTGCATAAATTTACCAACCATTTAGCCAAAAAAAAAATTACCTCCAGCATAGAGTGATGACTTCCTTCTCTCCTTTTCACTTGAATGTTATTTTCTGAGAGAATGCCAAAATTTATATGTACTGCATGGAGGTATCAGTCTTCAATGCTCCAAATGTCTATATTGTGTTGAAATATATATTGAGTGAATCAGTTTCAATTGGGCAACCCATTTTTTAATGGAATTATGATGAGTTTTTTGTATGTAAAACTCTAATTCAAAATTATATAATGTAAGTTCAACGGAAAATGAGACTCAACTTAGGGACATTTTGACTGTGGGACACTCTTGATGCATCAATTATGTCCACATCTTGGGGTCTCACTGTACTGCATACTGTATATGCCCAATATATATGGTATATATGTGTAAATTAGAGGCTCTAGATTAAATGATTTACACAGAAGAGAATTTTAGTTGTTCTAGTCACTCAAGCAGTTCATCTGATGAGAAATACAATTTTACAATTGGTAGTGTTATCAGTTGTACAATTGCAACTACTGATTTGATATCTTTTAGAGATCAATGTCGCTGTCTTTTATTTGAACTCTATATATAGACTATATACTGCATGATTTTCTCATTGGAATTCTAATACAGTTGAACCTCAATAACTCAAACCTCACCAGTCAATTATACCTCCCTGTATAGAACTGTTTTCAAGTCCCCATCTGAATTCCCTTAGAATATAATGCAAGGAGACCTGGCTAGAAAAAAAAAACAAGTGGACTCTACAACAAAATACAAGCAACAAGAAAAAAGGTGTTATTGAGAGAATTTTGTGGAGATCCCTTGTAAGATCAGGAAAGAATGCTGTGGAAACCCAAAAAATGTGTTGTATAGATAAATTTTTTGAAGATAAGATTATTGTATGTAGAGAGAGTTTACCTTTATTTTCTCAGCAAAAAAAAAACTCCCTAACTTGAAGGCTTTTCCTCTCAAACCTCCATGACAAATTTTCTGAGGCCTTTTGGCTATTATTTTATTAACACAAGAAAGAGAAAACAATAACTTGATGTGCTTTAAAAAAAAAAGTTAAAGACTAATTGGGCAAATGAACCCTTGCCTCCAATTTCAGCATCCTGTCAACACATTTAAGAAACAATTCAAGGCCCAGAATACAGTATCACTATTTTCAATTGACTGCAATTCTTTCTGTCTTTATATCACTGCAAAAATGCGGTTATCCATAACTCAAATCCTCCCAAATTTAAAAATGTTTGCTGGTCTCTTGAAATTTGACAATAGTTTGATTGTCCATAGTGAAGTCGTGCGGTGTAGGGAAAGGCGGGGATTCACGGCCGATTATGCATGTATAACAGGTTGCTTGCTGATGCTGCATGAAAAAAAAACACACACATTTATAGGAAAGATTCAAAAAGAAGAAAAGAAAACAGTGGAAGTTTCGGGGAGGAGAAGGAAGAGGCACTTATTGTGGGTCTGGGTCAAGTGGAGTTCTCCAGCAAAGCCGGACGCCCGCGCCCTCGTTTCCCTGTTGGCGGCAGGGTTGCCCCTTCCCCCCCCCCCCCCCCCCCTCCTCATTTATATACTGTTTATAGTCTCTTGCCTTGTTTGTCTTCGCGCTTCGCTCTTCTCACTTCCCCGCGGGGCCCACCGCGATCCCGCACGCCAGGAACTGGGGCACCCGAAGCTGGGCGACACGATTCCGACCCCGATTCATTTTCCCTTCTCGCGTTTTCTCTATTTTTATTGCTCCTTTCTCGGTCATTATTTTTATTTTATTATTTTTTTTAGTTGACAGCGTCACTCTTGTTTTCTCTTTCTTGCTTTCTTCTTTTATATACTGGAAGTATAGCAGCAGCAGCAGCTGCTGCCCAGAGAGAAGCGAGATGGATCGGGGTGGAGTGCTCCTGGTTTAATGGCATATTATGATGTTTTTCTCCTTTTCTTGTTGTTGTTTTTACTCGCATATAGTGCGGTGAGATAAAGAGGGGAAAATTGCTGAGGAACTGCGTGATGACACGCCCACTAATAATGCAGGGAGACTTGGCTAGAAAATACAGGGGGACTCTCTCTCTTTACAATGATCTTGTCTACAACAATTTTCTCTGTCTTTTTGTCAAAAATTAAAAAATTTATCTCTACAAAGATTTCTTCTCTCTCTCTCTGCAATGACCAGAAAAGAATTTCCTGTAGGGAGAATTTTGTTTTAGAGAACCACTTCAACAATATGGGAGAGAAGCCTACAAGACCAAACAAAAATGCATTATGATGAGGGGAAGAATACTGTGTGACCCAAGACAATGTGTTGTATACAGAATACAGATACAATTGCAGTAGATCTTATCATTGTTTTGAGACAGTTCACCTATAGTTTGTTCTTCTGGTATGTAATTTATGTTCTGGGGATAATGCATATGCGGTATACATAGTCCAACCTAATAAACTTAAATTCTGAAGGACCCACAACAAATTGAATGGATGATTTCTTGAGTATTGGGCAAAACTAGCATTTTTTTCTTTGGAAAAATGAAGAATGACAGGAAATTAAAATTGATCATATTCTGGACCATAAAATGCTTTTTAAACAAGTTGACAGCTATAGGATCCTGAAATTTGAGGCACTGTTTCATTTGCCTAATTCATCTTTCACTTCCTTTTGAAATGCGGTAAGTTACATTTGTTCTTGCTTTTCTCTATCCTTCTGTAGGATTTCTCTATCCTTTACATATCCCTAAATTTGAGGCTGTATTGCTCCTTCCTGACATTTTCGTTTTTTGTATGGACAAGCTCATTTAAATATGATGTGCAGCCAACGCCTTCCTAAAATCCTCGCGCTTTTCAGCTTGTGATATATGCTCCGCGCCCTGAAAAAATCACACATTTTATTATCTCCTCCTCTCAAAGTTTGATATGTAATTGGCACATTTTGCGGAGGTGCCGAGGAGTCTTCAGTGCATTTGCATTTCCCAACGTGGGAGGATGCAAATTCATTCATGTATGTAGTACAGGGTCATAAATTAACAAGGGATCAGCAGAAGCCCGAGCATATCATTCATCCCAATAATCAAGAGTTATAAAGCCAGATAACCAGACAAAATGATCGGATTGAATGTGAAATCATCGGACATTTTTCTTGGTGTGTGTTCGTTCTTTGGACAGTCATGGTCAGGAAAAGGCGCGTTACTGTTTGGATGGAGCGGTTCAAATCACCCACCGTCATACCATCCATGCTTATCCCGGGATCGCTTCGCATGCAGAAGACTGTACTGCTCGTATACAACCGAACGCTATGACTCCTCAAATTCTGCTTAATTCTGCGTTGTGCGGTTAATCGCACAATTAAGCAGAATTTTATCTATATGCAATCAAGTGACCATCGGAAACTGCGTATATACTAAGTCCAATTGTCGAACTGCGGTTCGCCATTATCTTTCAAGATACGAGAGGATTATCGAAGAGAAAGTGTCCCCGCAGATGTGTTCAGTCGATCGGCGAGTGCCCTCTGGCGAATGCGAGTTATTACTGTCTTGTGGCAGTGCCGTGGTTTTTGTGTTGGTCATCGCTGTCGCGCGAAATGATGAGGAATACGGAGTACAGTACTTACGTATGAATCATCTGCCGACTCGCAATATTGAGGTTTCCAGCACATGTCTCAGCCCGAGTGGAAAAAATGCCGTCGGGGAAATCAGCTTTTATGTAGTAAAGTAAAAACGTAATTCGCCCGTGGTAGGATTCTCTCTCACGTTTTGACGATGGGATAAATCCCCATTCCTTCCTGAGAATCCCGGATTGAATTTAGCTGATTGCGTTTAATTTCATTTTCTTTTTTGTTTTGTTTTCGCAGGTCCTGGAATTGCAAGGCAATGAAATGCGAAGAATCCCGACGGGTTCATTGAAAGGTCCGAAAGGGATGAAGAGGTTGAACCTGGCACAGAACAGACTCGGTGAGCATCGATTTTCTGTCTTTTGAACGAGGCAGTGCTCTCTTGGTTGATGAGCGAAATTTTCCAGCTTCTCAGACTTAACTCGATTTGTGCATGCTGCGGTATTTGAAAAAGCCGCTGCTCGGGCTGGAAAGAGTTTTCTAATTAAGAACCGAATGGTTCCCTCGAAAGCCAGCTGATGTTTCTTTTTTTTTCTGTGCTGGTGGGAAAATGAGGCGAGTATTCACCAGAAGTCAGTCGGCCGCTATATTCCCACTGGTCATTGACCTCACAATTGTTTTTTCTTCTTCCTACGAAACCCGATTTAGACCAAATTCTATCCTGAACTTTTTTTTATTCTTTTTTCATTTTAGAAGACGAAATTGAGAGATTTGAAATCAATGTCGGGGTCAGGCGCAGGCCTGGAGTGGCCAGCATTTATGAATTAAATCCTATTTCACAGTACGTGTGTCCGATCTTCTTTGTTATCGAGCAATATTAAATTTCATTTGATCCACATTGAGGCGAAACGTACAGCAATTTGAAGATATAAAGTCTTGAATCAGAAACTGATACACTTTCGTAATCTGGAAATGTTTCCGTTCTACCGTATTTTAATTTTGGCTGTTCGCCCCGCGTTAACTGAGGTTGACACTCGTTTGAAGATGAAGTAAAGAAGCAAACTCGATTTATGGACAAATTTAGGAACTGGAAATGTGGTGCTTTTGTGGTCGTGGTACTGCATAAAAGAAATTACTGTAGCTCCATCCTACGTGTAATGCTGTACAGTATGCAGGAATCGTTTTATGCGGAATTTAAATGACACGGAAATTTAATAGTTGCATTTTTCAAGCCCGAAATTATCAGAGAGGTACTGTATCCAAAATTTCCCCTTGCACTTTTTAGATGTGAGCTCCCGATCGGAAACTATATAGCTAACTATATAATGAGAACTTTCCGTGGAAGCTAGAATCGATTAAAATTCGCTTCTGTCACGCTATTTGTCTTCGTTGATCCTTGCTTCATTTCGTTAATCCTAGTCTGTTTTAATTCGGAAATTATCCTAACAAACTTATAAGAGAGTGTACTTATTAATTTTGGAATCAGGCAAATGTTAGGTACTTCCGGGGTCTCGGTTGAATTTAATGTGTTGCTCATCTTTTGCTCGCAGATCTTATCCCTCAGGGGGCATTCAAAGAACAACCGAAACTGGAGACTCTGGATGTGAGCTGGAACACGATCGCCATCATTCAACCGATGGCTCTGGCTGCTCTGCGTAAGTGGATCATTGTTATAATAATTGTATTATGATTTCACAAGAGTAAAATTATTATTGCACTGACGGCTTACTCAATGGGGATTTGTCCAATCTTATTCGAAGGATTTCAGCTTGTTTCGGTCTTCTTGATTTTCTGATTTCGATTCCGTATTAATTTATGATTACAGTACATTATATTTTCTATACCGCGTACAATTAAATTAATGTGCTTTTTTCTTATGGTCTGATCTATTCGCTTGCAATATCGGGCCAGTAGACTGTTTTAAATCGGTGTATTTCTGAGGGGGTAGATAATTTAAGAACGGAGCTACTTTCTCTAGTTGATGCTGAATTTTGGCTTTCTGTTCAGAAAATCTGAAACGACTGGATCTCTCTGGGAATCATTTGAGCAAAATCCCAAGCGGTGCTTTTGATGGGTTGGAGAATTTGGAAGAACTAGACTTGTCCAACAATTTCTTCAGCTCTTTCCCGACGGAGGCTGTGAAATCATTACGCAAATTAAAACGGCTCATCCTTCACTCCAACAGAATCAGGGTACGTGCTGTCTTTGATTTATTTATTTTTCAAAACTTGGGCTTTTTTAAAGTAATCGCGGAACCTTGAGGCTTTCGTTTTGAACTCTCACTTCACCTTTCCGTATCCCTCTGTCTGGAATGATTTTTTTTTATCCTCGAACGCAAAAAAAAGCAGAATGTGGAGGAAGCAGAAATGCAAGAATTGTCCGAAGCGTTGGAATACTTGGACTTGTCTAGGAACCGACTGGACAACGTTCCACCGCGCACTTTCTCTCCACTAAGGAATCTCAAGGTGCTGAAGCTGCACGTGAACGCGGTCAGGAAGGTGAGAAAAAACTTTCAGTCTCTGATTTTTCTCGATGGCCGATCGACGATCAATCAACGCAAAGAAAATAACCCGGTCTTGAACGTGAAAATAAAAGTAAAATAAAAATGAAAATGGGATGGAAAACGCGGTCGACGAATTCATCATCGCCGGGGAAGGATCCCAAAGATTTCGAGGCCAAACGTGTCAACCGCTGTACGCCATATCAAGTCGTGCATCTTCAGAGTCATCTTTCTTGCTCTCTCATTTACTCTTATTGTACTGTACTTGTAAAGTCATTTCGTGGACAATTTTATGCTCACGTTTTTCTCGCTGTCCAAAAAATAATGATGTGCCACAGTAAAACTCCGTTGCAAAGAATCTCGTTAATGTATAACAAATTTTCTATCATAAAATTCGTCGTGGTCCCAACAGTTTCTTTATGTTTTAATGATATTATTTCAAAAAATTAATTTTTAGCTGAAATTTCGTTATACGGCTTATACCCAATATTTGCTCTTTTCCTATAAATGGGACATGCGGATTATTTCATCATATGAGGAAATGAAAAAAAAATTACGTTGTGCATTATCACAAGTACATAAAAATGTGAACCTTTTTGAAAATTAAGTTTAGCACTGCATTGCAAAATATGCAAGCGTGATGTTTTTCTTGGAATTTATTTAGGCTTATTTGAGAATTTTTACATCAATGGCTTTTTTCATATTGAACAGTACAGTATGTCAGATAGATTTATAGAATGTATCTCCCATTTAAAGAACAAATGTGTGTGCTTAAATACGTGGTTTTGAAAAGAGGCACTTCTTGTGCAGTACTTGACTTCTGTATCATTATATTTTTGAAGATCACCACATGATTAGGAAAGTTGTGAGGCAGGTTATGAATAATGAGAAGTTTTTTTAATTATCGGAAGATAATCGTATGAAATATAATTTTATTTTGACGCTTTAGCTACAATTCTCGGAGAACAGCTTTTTTGACTCATTCAATGATGAAGTTGAATTATTATTTTTTCTCTGCAGGTGGAAGACGACGCTTTCGAAGGACTAGAGAAGCTAGAAGAGCTGGACTTGTCAGACAACACGATGCTATCCATGCCTACCTCAGCCCTTGGCAGATTACCGTCTTTGAAAAAGCTCGTGCTGGACTATAACCGAATCGGAGTCCTTTCCGCTGAGAATCTCAACGGCGTGAAGAGCCTGGAGGAGTTTTCCCTGGCTTTCAATCTGATTCGCGACTTGTCAGACGACACTTTCCAAGGATTCGACCGCTTGAAGAGCCTCGATCTCAAAGGAAACCAAATCGAGGTATTTTTATTTGAATATATTTTTCTTCTCATCTCTCGTTTTTATTTCAGCCGTGCGAAGTGCAGTTGTAGTGATGATTGTAACACGACATGTTTCAGAAATTAAACATGCGTTAGACTCCTCGACGAAGTGTCTTTAAATCTGCGATGTATGGTGTTAAAAAGGTTTTTTTTGTGCTTCAATTCCTAAGTTAAACATGTAGGTGGGGAAAATGTCGAGAAATCCTAATGAGACTATATGTTCCGAGTAAAAGATTTTGCACAGTAAGCGGTGCAGCATTCTACCCATAATCCAATCAACATTGACGTCCTGCTGTAGCAAAACGTGCTTATATACCCCCTCAAGATGGAAACAGAAGTCGATTAAACTTTTGATGCCTCAGCAGCACTACAGCAATTTAAAATTGAAAAGTGTTCGCTTCAGCTAGCGACGTTTGTTGTCTAAAGTCGAAAAATGTGTACAGTAGCTGTCATGTACGAAGTTGAGAAGTACTTTCATTACATATGCGGGGGTTGAACAAAAGTTATCGGAACTATAAATTGGTAGGGAATACGCTTGAACTGATGAACAATTATTGTTAAAAAAAAAAACATTTTTTGGCGCAAGAAAAAAAAATTCAGCCCTGTTTGACATACTTTGCTGAAAATTTTTGGATGTCACCCCACCCTAGTAGCTTTCTGCTCCTCACTCGAAAGATGAGGCGCCCATTTCGCAGATTTTTTATTTTTTTATTTTTGTGCAGCCCAGCTTCTCTTTCAGAATTTTTGAAATCGACTTCGCAATAATTCCAACGGTTGCCTCCGGGTCTTCCAAGATCATTCCGCCATTTTAATCAACAGGCGCCACATTCTCATCCCTGTAGTGGCGGCTTCTCTTCTTCACGAGTTGTTTTTCGGCGCAATAGTCTGCCGTTTCGATTTTAACTCACAAGAATTTTTTTGGGCATCCGATTGCATAACTGCTGGGTGCCTAAATTTAGAAATGTCAATTTTTTTCATGTGCAGAGCGTGACTCAGTCTACGTTGGGAGGTCTCGAAGGAACATTGACGAACCTGGACCTGAGCTTTAATGCTTTGCCCGAAGCGCCTAAGTTGAGTTTCCCGAAACTGTCAAAGCTGGACTTGTCTCGCAACAACATTTCCCGGTTGGCAGAAGAAGCCTTTGGACTTTTGACGAACTTGAAGTACCTCAACTTGAGCAATAATAATTTGGAGAGAATTCATAATGCGGCGTTCCGTGGCTCCAACAACGGCGGACTCGTCCTGGAAGTTTTGGATTTGAGCGGGAATTTGATCAAGGATATTCAACCCGGCGCTTTCGAGTCGCGCACTTTGATGGCTCTAGATTTGCACTCGAATTTGCTCAAAGAAATCACCACGGGCGTGTTCACTGGGATGCCGGATTTGAGATTCTTGGACTTATCTGCCAATGACATTTATAGCATGAAGCCCGGGTCGTTTTCGGGACTAGACCAAATGCAGGTAAGAAAAATGGCGATGCGCTTTTTTCCACTTACTTCAGCCTTTCTATAAGTTTGTACAAAACTTATAGGGAAGAGAGTAAACCTGTACCACCTGAATAAGTTTTCCAAACTCACTCTTATATCAGAACAAATTGATAACAGGCAGAGCTGGAATATTCTTGCAAAATAAAATCTTGAAACTTCGATCACGGCGTGTATGTTTCGCATTTTGGTTTTCCTTTCTGTGGGAGTGACATCTGTCTAATCGAAGCGTAGACTTATCGTTTGAAGGTGATGTGTGGAAATAAGAATGAAGCATGATGGAAGTAATCTGGAACTTCGGAGTAGTATTTTTTTCTGCGAAATTGCAAACTATGTGTATTTAAAGAGCAGCATTTGTAAAAGTCGAAAATAGAGCAGGTTATTGTTTTAGTGTAATATCATATAAGGGTTAGCTTCCTTTTATCTAAGAGAATACAGCATAATTGTCTTAGAAAACTTAGTGTTGATCTCGATTCGTTTCAGGTGCTGAAATTCGATCGGAACAACCTGGCGTCGTTCAAAGAAGAATCTTTTGCCGGACCGACTGCACTGGAGGAGATATCATTGAGCAGCAACGAAATCACTTACCTGCTGAGCGACGCTTTTGTGAAACACCCACGGCTGCGGAAGCTGGACCTCGCAGACAACCGACTCAGCGCCTTTCCTGGCGAGATCGTGCGTGGGATCCGCCCCCTAGAAGAGTTGTCTTTGGCGAAAAACTCGTTGCGATCCCTGGAAAGTGCGGACTTTGCCAATTTGGCCAACTTGCGGAAGCTGGACTTGTCTCGGAACGAGATATCGGTTATCGGTGCTGCTGCGTTCCAAAACTCCACTCAGGTGAGCTTTAGAACATATGCGTATCCACGAGGGTTGTCCCAGTTCCGCGCGAAAGTAAACACTTCTCCCCTGGGTTAAATTTGTGTTAAGTACTGTATCTTAAAAGCTTTCCCCATGATGCTTGAGGATTCTGGTGTATTTTTCAGATTTTCCAAGACATTCTTTCCAGACAAGTGTGATGATAAAGGGAACATCTTTTGATAATGCCCACAGTTTTCCATTCATTTCACAGTTAGTTGAAAAGTTGTCATAGTTGTAAAATTTTAATTACTGTGTTAATGTGAGTACCGCATGAAGCTTTTTTTCCTCAAAAATTGAGAGGATAAAAAGTGTGCGCTTCAAATGGGGGTAAAATTTTCAAAAAAATGCTAGTACTGTACTGTACAATACTGTATGTTACAATAGTTTAGGTGCGCGTCACGCTTGAATGTAAAGGGACATTTTTGACATGACTTCTTTTCAAACTCAAACAATCGAAAGTCCATTGAATTCTGGTTCAATTTATGTCCAAATTTGAATTCAGTGTCTCTTATTTTTTAGATACAGTAATTCTTTCGAGGGCGTTGCATAATGCCATGTGGTGTTGATTTTTTTTTTTTACAATCTATTCCCGAAGATAATTCTTGTGCGTTAAAATTTATTTATTATTTATTTATTGGCACAATTCTATATGAATTATGCCATTTATTATTGGCTGAATGAACATTGACACAATTGGACGTTCTATTATTTTTTCTATAACAACACTCCTGAGAACCCTAACGTAATTGCATTGAGGCAACCCTACAGATGTTCAGTCTTCATGTGACGCATGGATTAATTTTGTCGTAATGTAACCTATTAACTCGACTCAACAGAAAGTACATGAGACACATGCACGTAGACAACAACAAAAATCGAAGAGTCGTGAACATCGGGAATTATGATGAAAAGCTGGGAATAAATGTTAATGAAACGCGTCGAGCGTGCGTTGACTTGTGAGATCGGGAATATTCTTCGGGTCAGCGCATGTTGGGCGGAAAATCTCCCCCGCCCTTAATGATTGGGAGTGTAATGTTTTGTTTTTTCCTCTTCTGTCTCGAATAAATCATTTGTGCAGGTGCAAGAACTTGACCTGAGCTACAACGCCATCCGGGAAGTACCCGACGACGCTTTCCTGGGTGCTGGTCGCCTCTTGCTCAACCTCGAAGGCAATCGGTTGTCTTCCCTACCTGCCGCCATTTTCGATCGAAACCGGCTCTTCCAGTTACAGAGCATCAATTTGGCTCGCAATGAGCTCGAGCGGATCCCCGTGGACGCGCTGCAACGCCAATATTTCTTCCTTCAAGACGTTGATCTGTCACACAACCGCATCGCCGACATTCAGTCGAACGCCAATGTGCTGGTGAATATCAAGCGACTGGACTTGAGCTACAACCCGCTGACTTCCGAGTCCATCGACTACGTGCTCAACGAGCCCAAGACAGCCAGAGACCTGAACATGGCCGGCACCGGAGTGGAACGAGTGCCGGTCTTGGAAACACCTTTCCTCCGCTCGCTCAATTTGTCAGACAACAAGATCACGTCTTTGGCTGATGACGTGTTCCAGCGGCCGACGCTGCTCGAAGTTCTCGACTTGGCAAAGAACCGGATCCCGAACCTGAGTTTCGGATTGGCCGCTGGCGTTTGGCCGAAGCTGACGGACCTCCGACACGTCCGAGTGTCTGGCAACCCTGTGAGCTACGTCATCAAGGGGGACTTCGCGTATCTAGCCAATTTGGAAGTGCTGGAGTTGGATCACTTGCCCGAGTGTACCAAGATCGAGAAGGGCGCTTTTGCGGGGCTGCGGAAATTGACGCGACTCGAGTTGCATTCGTATCCGAAGCTCGGGTTCTTGGATACCCGAGGCATCTTGGCCCAGTTTCGGGCACCGAGAAGTGTAGCTGTGGAAGTGAAGGGGTCCGTGGTGAACGATGATCTGCATCCTGCGTTTAACCCGCGTTTGGAGCGGTTAGAGTTGCTCGGTGCGAACGTCAGGAGCTTGTCTACTGGTGCATTTGCGGGGATAGATAGTCCGCGGATCGAGATGTTTATCCGGAATACGTCATTGCCGAGCTTGCCGCCACCAGCGCTTTTCCAGGTGAGAGTTTCTCAACGATCGCTGTGGAGAGGACGATGTCATCATTCTGAGAACTATACGTTCTTATATTGGTCTTTTTGAATTTTGCATTTTATTTGTTCATTATTGTATTCCATCTTTTTGATTTGACTCATGGTAAACTGTGTTTTCTGTAGCTTTCAACATCAATGTACTCAATGTGAAGGCCGACTGTCCCTTATTGAAACGTCGGCATGGTCTTGCTGATTTCTAAATAATTTAAACTTTGACTGTATCCAGCTGAAGTAAGAGTGAATTACTCCTAATAAATCTGGAATTTCTCAAATGACACAAGCCCTATATTTGCACAACTATAGTCCAACCTCTTCAAGTCGAATTTCAAGGGACCAGCTAAAAAATTCGGTGTGAAGAAGTTTCGGATTGAGGAAGCAAGCATTTCTGTTGGGGACAAAAAAATAATAAATGCAGGAATTTGTAATCGGTGCTATTCTGAGCCTTGAATTGATTCTTAAATGATTTTAGAGGATGCTGAAGCTGGATTCAAGGTTTTATTTTCCGAACTAGTCTTTCATTACCTTTCAAAACACATCAATTTACATTTTCATTACTTTTCTCTCTCTCCTGTGTCCATAAAAGAATAGACAATAAGAGGCCTGTAGGAAATTTTAGTTACTGAGGTTTGAGAGGGAAACCCTTTGATTTAGGGAGGCTTTTAATGCATTGTTCCTAAAAGGGATTCAGATGATGGTGAGATGAGGAAATTTGAAAAAAAAAATTGACCTGGGGAGGTTTGTAGTATTATTGAGGTTCAATGGTACTGTATAAGGGTCACCCTCTCTAGAAAATTATGCTCAAAAACACAATGATGCGGCCTATTATATGCTGTAGATATTCGCTCATAATAATAAGCTGCACTGAGTTTTAAAATTTGGCTGATAATTGGAATACATGAATGTCACAGTTCTGCGCTGAGTGCTGACTTGTATTCTAATGATTTAAGTAATGATGTATCATATTCCAGAATAGTGAAAATCTAGGCTTGTTTATTGGCAATCTGCTGAATGTCATTTGAAAAAGAAAAAGTGATCGCTCGGAATGTTAGAAGCTTTTCGTGGAAGCACTGACCAAATGCTATTTTATTTTTCATACATTTACGAAATATTGGCCGAATGTTTCTTTTAGAAACGTTCAATATTATCCGCCGTATTCATATTTTCTCCCTTCAATTTTCTTAACACACTCAAGGGATCTGGCCGTTGTATATATATGCAGTATAATTTATAAGTCACTTCGCGGTACTTGAAATTAAAAATTATAATAAATAAATCGGGACATGCCTCGTTAATTTTTTTTTTTTTTCGAATAGAAACTTGGCTCGAGTTTATTGATGATTTTGATGCAATCTTTCGCTTTATACAGGTGCCGATGTCCTCTTCAGTCACTTTAGACTTGAGCTTCAACGCGATCGCGAGCCTCAGCCCACAACTGGTGTCGACGCTGGAAAACAAGCAGCGAAGAGTGCGCCTCCTCGGCCTGGCGACGAACCCTATCTACTGCGACTGCAACGCTCGCCCTCTCAAGCGCTGGCTCCAGACACAGCGATCCCAGCGCCGCCTAACGCCCGAACTCCTTGGACTCACGTGTCACCAGCCTGCGTCCAACGCTGGCAAGCATCTGCTCGACATGGACGACGCGGACCTTAGCTGCGCCCCCGGTGGCACAACCACAACCAGCACAACAGAGATCCCGTTGAGCGTGGCGGATCGTGGCGACGCGGATTCGGCGGCGACGAGTACCGAGTTCCGCGCCGAGCCTGACATCATTTGGACGATGGACCCAGTAACGAAACGGGGCTCGGACGGGGCCCGAAACGCTGCTGCTGGTTCGGGAGGAGCTGGAGGAGGGGGCGTCGGTGGGGTTGGAGGAGCCGGCGCCGGCAACAAGCGCGACAAGATGGATCACCTCATCTTTGGGATCCTCGGTGGCGTCATCGCATTCATTCTCGTACTGGTGTTCATCATTTGTCTGGTCCGACTGCGCATCACTGACAATCATTACCCGGGTGGCCCGCTTGTTGGCCCGCTGGCCCTCCAAACTGCGGCGGCGCATCATCACGGTACACTGCCGTCCATCAGCGGCAAGTGCACGTGCATCGTGAAGCCACCGCCGCCGCCGTTCATGTTCTACACGGCCCCACCTCCGCCGCAGTCGTCGATGACTCCGTTGCCGGGTGGTGGTGGCGGCGGAACGCTGCCGAAGATGTTGCCTCCACCGCCGCCGCCGTCGGCGCAGCACATGTACGGGTCGTTGCATCGGAGGACTTATTACGCGACAAATGCGCCGTATTATGTCGCCTTTCCCAATGACCCCATGGCGGGGCCCGGATGTGATAGCAGGGCGGATCATGACCTGCACCCGTACGAGTGCTGATACTGTAATGGGGGGATTTGACCATCGTGTGTATGGCGTGCGACCTCCGTCTTTGCGCTCTCGATTTATTTACTGTATTGCTTGCTGGTTTCCTATTGGGCTGGTATAGACAATCAACTTCGGGTGTACTAGCTGTTGCGACGGATGGATAGATGGATTGCCCTGAGTATGTTGAACCATTTGTATCCGCCCCAGAAAGTGTCTTTCAGGACGTTTGATTGGTGATCCGGCCATTACATCATATAGACAGAGAAGTAAAATGAAACGTATTATTCGTCGACAAAAAGAAAAACATGTACGCTGCAAATCTTCATCGACAAATTTATCCGGCAAGTTTTTTTTTTTTAGATAATTTTAAAAATTATGCCCAGCCATCATAGAAAAGTAAATCATAACGCATTTTTAGTTGACAGAGAAGTTCACACGCTAAAAGCTTTGATTGACACATTTATGCCGCATTCTTTTTTAAACGAATTTACAAGTATGCCCGGTCATTATAGAAAAGTAAAATACAGTCCATTATGGTTGACAAGGAGAAAAATATATGCGCTGAAAATATTTCATCGACAAAATTATACCCTATGATTTATCAAGTGGATTTAAAAATTACTCCCACGCAATAGATTGGCGCAGATTATGTAAAACATGTGGTTAACAGTACTGATGACACCGTTGATGGCAAATAATTTTTTTCACTTCGGAAGGACCAACAGGAACAATTTTTTGGTTTTATTAAGTTTTTTTAATGAGATTTTACACCGGGTAAAATTCACCGCAGTAGCTGAAAATCACGCTGAAGGCAAAATAGCAAGTTATTGTTCCAGTATTTTTCGGTTGCTATCATCCAGTACAAAAAAGTTCCGGAATGCAATGCCGAGTAGATTTTCCTGTGGACTGAGTTCAGTGGTATGGGTCTTGATGCGCGCGTTGTGTTTTCTTTTTGCTGTTAGTTATTGATTTATCAACTGCTGCTGGTTGACATTTTCCATGTACTTGACTTGTTTTTGGAGTGTCGACTCGATTGCTGTCTTTCCGAGTTTTTGATTGTTGAGGATTATTTATTGTTGCGCGTGATATGAGGTATAGTAGTGTTGTGAGTATGGACGAAGCGAGCTGTTCGGGCTTGCGGAAAACGGAACCGCGCTGTTCTTTTTCTTTTATTAATTGTTTGAAAGCTATGCTGGCCGAATTCATCAGGAGGAAATGCAAGCCTTCATTCAATGTGTGGTTATGCTTCCAATGAAAGTTGTATTAAAAATGTATCGTTTTTTGCGCGGCAAGGTCAGCCGCGTTTGACGAGTTTCGACCTGAACGAGACAAGATCAAAAGAGCCGCTTTTGATATCATTGAATTGTGTGATACGTACGTTGTTTTTTCTTTGACAAATTTGCTTGCTCAATGCTGCTCATATCTGGAATTGTTGCAGAGTTTCGTGGGTACTGTAGCTCGAAAATGACTTGTTATGCGCATGTTTTGTGCAGTTGTTTTTTTTTCTCTCAATATTCGTGTGAAATGTTACTCAGACGATCGAGGTGCTTATTTTTTCCGAATTTTGAAAAGATTGATGAACTGTCCCATGGCGGTAATAAAGGTTGTTTTTCAATGTGCTGTGGAAATGGGGTTTTCATTTCTCAACGAGGTTTTTCTGCTGCTGAAAGCAGTTCGCATTTTTGAATCGCGGACTACAATTGTCAAATTATCTTTGCTTTATCGTGACAGAGCATAGATGTCGCTCATGTCTTGTTGACAAGATGGAGACTTCCTATAGTTGGATCGTAGCTCCGTCGAACACTCGCACATCGCAGGTTAATTTTCCCAACAGCGATGAACGAAAAAGTGATCCCGCAACGGAACGGGAGTCCGAGAAGAAATGCCTGTGCCATCGAGCATCTCCGCGATGGTTTTATGTGCCGAGATGTAATGTGACGATGCAAGGAGGAATAGCTGGAAGTTCTTGCGATACGTGGGCTGAAATCTTATTCTGAATCGTGTATATTTCTAGAAAGGAATAAGTTATTCCTGCGTATTGCATGGTTTTACTTCGTGCTTAGGAGTGTCAAGATTTCTTGGATCTTCGCTTCAACGTTCTCATCTTTCTGAATTATGACGTAGGATATTTGGGATTATTTTCATGCTAATTCTGCATTTTAGGCGCAAACTCGTATTGTCGGTCTCACGAATCTGTAGGGACGGACCTAATCCGTCCCTATCTCCTGCCAGTACAGTATTACGGAGCTGTGGTCTCCGGCAAGCTTATCGAAAGATTGTGCTACCGGTGTCTTTTTGAAGTAGATGAACAGCTCAGCGCGAAGAGAATTCCGTCGCATCAAATCAAGTTAGTAAGTTTGATCCATGAGTGCCTTATAATTTGAGATTAGCTTCTTCATATTTAATTTGCGGTGTTGATTTTCATTCATCCTTTCATGAAAGGACTTGTTTTGATTCAGGAAAATCAAGTGGTGGAAGATTGTTTTACACCGGTACTTGTAAGAAGGATGCGATGCCTGCCCACGAAACACGCCGTCGTGTGAAGCTTTATGCTCTCAATGCAGAGAAGCAGTGGGATGATAAGGGAACTGGTCATGTTGCATCATCTTATGTTGACCGTCTGAAAGGCTATTCCCTCCTCGTCCGAGCTGAAGTAGATGGTTCTATCTTGCTGGAATCTAAAATCCAGCCAGATACCACGTACCAGAAGCAACAGGTAACTGAAACGTGATAATTTTTCTTTGAAAATGTCCCTTATCACCGCGCCCTTAATTTCCTGTACATGGTTGTGGATCCTGGTGTGATGAACCGAATTGTTTTCGCAGGAAACTCTGATCGTGTGGTCTGAAGGAGAGAATTACGATTTAGCCCTCAGCTTTCAAGAAAGAGCTGGATGTGACGAAATATGGGAGAAAATCTGTCAGGTAAAACTTCCAGAAGGCGTAATCTCCTTCAAATCATATCTAGCGATTATTTCTTAGGTCCAAGGCAGAGATCCCTCGGCGGATACAACGCAAGAAATTGTTGACGAAAGTGAAGATGAACGTTTCTCCGAAGAGAACGAACTTTTGTCATCTGCGGACACCACCTTCAATATCACGTCACTCGATTTGCCCCCTCCCGATGTTCCTCGATTAGAGGAGATTGATGAAGTAAGACGTACCTATTGGTAGTTTTTGTCCTTGTGTTAACTGTGGACGCTTTCAGATAATTGCGACTAGCCTATCTGCGCCAGTTCGACGAGAGAAACTTGCGATGGTGCTAGAAAGTGAAGATTATTTACGTCGATTATTGAGTTTGTTTACTGTTTGTGAAGACAAGAAAGACACTGACGCGCTGCATCACCTATATGCAATTGTTAAGAATATCTTCTTGATGAACCGGACGACGCTCATCGAAATGCTTCTTCATGGTACGCTGAGTGAGCCTGTGTTTGCGGTTGAGTGGATCGTAAGCAATCTCGTTTTCCAGATGATATGGTGTTTGACGTCATCGGTTGTTTGGAGTACGACCCGTCCAACAAGGGAGACCGGCGGAAACACAGAGAATATTTGAAGTTGGGTGTGAATTTCCGGCAGATCGTTCCAACGGTGAACAAGGAGTTGAATGCCAAAATTCATCAAACCTACCGCGCGCAGTACCTGCATGACGTTGCTCTACCGACGCCGTCATTCTTCGAAGACAGCACGTCAACATTGTCGTCGTTCATATTTTTCAACAAAGTGGACATTGTTAACATGGTTCAGGTATTTTTTTTTCTCCTTGATAATAAAATACTGTACCAAAATTTATTATTTCTCGGAAAATATGGCCTAGCCTTAACTGAAGTCAAAAGGAATTCTTCGAACGGTTCACAGACACTGCCCTTAACGTAAGATCAAACCACATTAAGACTTGGATAAAAAAAATCTGAATTCGTTCCACGTAAAACCTGATACAAGTTTTGCATGATGATATCGAAAAATGACGTGTTGAAGATCTTGTCTTCATTATCAAATGAAAATACTTGTGAACGCAGTCCACATCACAGTATGATCATCAGTAATTATGCAAGCGAACATTTTTCGCTGTGGGCTTGATGTGTTGAACCTAAAAATTTCAAATCTCGAAGTGCGAGGTAGCAGAATTTTAATATAAGGAAAGTTGGAATTCAGGTTTTCATTACCGGTATTCACACGGTTTTTGCGTTAGCACTTAGCAGTTGATATCAAAAATTAGTGCTCATTTTCCGCGCGATCAAATGTAGAAGAAAAGTGCATACTGGCACTTATTCCTGGTCCTTTTTGGTAAGGGAAATTCTCTCAATACATTGAAGATGATATTTATTTAATTATCAGAAATTGATCCGTGGGTTCAATTTTTATCGAAAGTCTTCATCACGGAAAGTTCACGGCGCATGAATATCAGTGAACTCTGTTTAAGTTGATTAGAAGTTTTTTATCGCACTAATCCAGTCTCTTCCCTGACACGTTTACTTCGCAGAAAGACGAACAGTTTCTTCGACAGATCTTTTCGGAATTGACAGAAGAAGAAACGGAAATTGGACGCCGTAGAGATTTAATTCTTTTCCTGAAAGAGCTTTCAACTTTTTCTCAAACGCTCCAACCTATCAACCGCGAATCCTTGTTGAAGGTAGGATTCGCATTTTCAGTGGAAGCCTGCTGTTTCAACTGTTTCATTTCTTTTTTCAGCAACTTTCATCTTTCGGAATTCTGCCTGCTCTGGAAATAGCGATGTGTTTAGAAAATCAGTTCGTAGTCCGTACGGCAGCAACCGACATTCTGAACATGCTCGTCGAGTTTTCTCCGTCAATCGTGCGCGAGTACATTCTCAATCAAGCTGGACATGTGGAGGAAGTGCGTAAATGTGGTCGAGTCGGTGCAAACTTTCGAAACTTACATAGTGTATCGTGTTCTCAGGACCAGCTTTTTTCGAATGTACTGATCGAAGTGATGATGTGCGACCCAGACCCCGACCTCAGCAGTGCAGCACAATTGCAGAGCATACTCAAGATTCTGCTAGATCCGGAGAACATGCTCGCAGCGATGAACAAGTCCGAAAAGAGTGACTTTTTGTCGTATTTTTATAAGCATTCAATGCACGTGCTTACGGGTGAGTGACTTGTTTGTTGTTTATTTACGTGTTATCGTGAACTCATTGAATTTCTCGGTTTCCATTACGATAGCCCCGTTGCTACTGCATACGTCAGAAGACAAACCAGGGAAGGACGACGCACATACTGCAAATCTTCTCAGTCTGATCGTGGAGTTGCTAGGCTTTTGTGTGGACCATCACACTTTCCACATAAAAAATTATATCATTGGAAAGGATCTCTTACGGCGTGTGCTTGTTTTGCTCAAGTCTTCTCACAAGCACCTAGCGCTTAGTAAGTCTTTTTCTTTTCAACGCCTAACAAATTTACCGATTTTTGAATGTGTCCCCTCGAAAATATGACTTGTTTTGAAAACAACACGAGCTCAGATTTACGGACATACTTATAGTAAAAATCCTCTGTTTGAAGTAATTCAGTGAATATGTTGAATTGATTTCATGTAAATGGCAGGCCATGTAAATGGCAGGCCATTTACATTTTAATCTGTCATGTTGTGCGTGATAAAACGTAGAGTAATTTTTTCGAAGAACTTCGAGGCCCCAAGAATTTTGTTTGGAGCCAAAATTAATTTCAGATCGTGAAAAATTCGATTATTTTCGCGATTTTCAAATTTCACCGCTGTCCAAATTTTTAAAATGAAGCTTTTTGTATTCTGAGGAAGATGAGTTCTAGGCCTTCTTCATGTTCGAGAAAATGCGGTGGTTGTTGGAGCAGTACAGTACTGTACTTCTAGGATTGGCTGATTTTCGCGCGCATTCAAATTGTCAATTTTTCACGTGGGATTAATTTCCGAATTATGACAGCAATAGTCGTAGTAGGAACCAATTGAGAAATTCCCTACCTTTTTAAATTGTCATGGTTGGAGTACGATGGAAAATAGAACTGCGCGTTGAAGTCAGAGACCCATCACGTAGTTGGTACTAAAATATTTGAGACGTATAAGTATCCTTTGTAGCCTGTAAATTATCGTATTTCTTAGGTTCCTTACCCGAAAATAATTCCTAACCAGATTTTTTTTCATTGTCTTATGCAGGTGCCCTCCGGCTTATGAGGAAGATCATCGGTCTGAAAGACACTTTCTACCACAATCACATAATAGAGAAATCTTTATTCAAGCCCGTTGTGGAAGCACTGCTGCAAAACAAGGGGCGATACAACTTGTTAGATTCCGCCATTCTAGAACTTTTCGAGTTCACAAAAACTGTGAGTTCTCATTTCTTGAACAACGAAATATTCACTTGGCGCGTACGAAATGTTTCATTTCATACAGGATGCATAAATTCAATTTAACCGAAAGAATTGTGTGATTCCATCTTACTGGGAAATGCTTATTGCATTTTTGTTTCGTTTTTCAAGGACGTTACACTGTTGTTCAGTCATGTTGTTGAGAAGTATGGGAAGGAGTTGGAGGTTGTCAATTATGCACCGACTTTTCGGGACATGCGAAAGAAGTGCGAGGAAAAACTCTCTGATCGAATTGATCGGACGTTGTTTGGGTAAGTCGTTTTTCTTCTGGCAGACGACTAGATTTTCACCCTTGCGAATTGAAGATGCAGAAAAATTTTCCGATGAATCGAAAGTACTGTACTGTGAAATCTTTTCGGCAGCTAATTAAACTATAGTAGCATAGTATTGGATTTAGTTCCCTTCAGTTGTGAGACGCTGGATAATTTTCAACAAGGTTAAATTGACAAAAGTGTGTTTTTTTGCTTATCTACTCGGGTAACGTGAATCTCTCTGTAAGACGCGCGCAAGGGCCTTTGGAGAGAAGTGTTCTTGGAATTTCCTGGAGCTCCATTTCATTTACGTTTTCGAAGATTACGTGCGCTCCCTTTTTGCTTTCGAAATTGCCGGCTGTAGTGCGCGTTGCATTGACGTGGTATTATAATTCTTCCTATAATTATTCTGTATTATAATTCTTCCTACACTCGTTTGTAGTGCTTCATGAAGATTTAGATGTGTTGCATTGACGTGAATACAGGCGATATAATCATTTTTCCTACAGGCGTTTGTGGTGCAGTAGTGGATCGTAGATATTTCGATTTTATAATTTTACAATTCTTTACGTTTAACCGAGATTTTTGTTTGGTAACAGGAAAAACGTAGGTCGGTTTCGCCGTGACCCACGTGAGCCGGACGAAGATGAAGCTTTATGGTTTGACGCGGACGAGGAGGATGAGCCGGAACCGATGCCGCCGGCGAACGAGGTGGCGCCTTGCATCACAGCGAAAAACGAGGACGGGCCGTGTCTGGTGGTGACTGGCTCTCCGACTCTCACGTCTTCAGGCACCTCGTCGCTGGGCCAAGTGGGTCCTTCTGCAGTACCTTCTTTCCTAGCTGCCCTGAATGTCGACCGACCGCTGTCTCCCGACTCGCGGGAGCCTACGGACGGCGGCCACGGGCTTCTCGCGGCGCACAAATCTCTCCTTCCTGGTGGCAAGGTATCTTCTTCTATATTTCCCCCCTCTTTCTCTCGTGTGTGTTTCCTGTCTGTCGGGCTTTGGCGTGCATGCAGGTGCCACTTCTTTGCTTCTGCTGTCTGATGAAAGTGTGGTGAAGCCGTCGCTATTTTTGGCGATGCTCGTGTCCGAAGTATGTGAGAAGGATAAGAAAGTCAAGGTTTTCGCTAATACTCGAATGATTCAAAAACTGAACAGAACCTCCAAAACTCTTTCATTCTCATTGTCTTCGAACCGTTTGGTTCCATATCCTGTTTCGTGTTGCGCTCGCTGTGGCTATTTGAAAGAAGGAAAGATTAATTTTGTCTTATATAAATTTTGATTTCATGTGTTTTTAAATCATGTTCGCCTTTCCCCTAAATTTTTCCAAATTTTTCTGTCTGGATATTTTTTGAATTTTCCGGACATCGAGGATGATCTGTGCGAATTCAATCAATTTTTCCTTCCCGCATTTTAGAGCTTGTTCATAAATTCTTCAAGCTTTCAGTTGACACTTGCATACGTATCGCTATTTATTTTAGCTCTTGATATTTTACTGATTGAGATAGCGTGGAAAATTTTGCCTAAGATTTTTCATGAATTCATTAATTGTCCATCTGCGTCCACTGTGGTAAAAGCTCTGGAAATTTTGAAAATGCATTTTCTCGAGTGAAAAAAATAGCAGTCCACATTTCTAAAGCTCAGCATCAACCACCGGATATCGGAACTCCATTTTTTAGCATTTTGATCGGGTGGGAATTAGTTCCGGTCTTTTTGTGTCGAGAATGCGCTTGATTCGTTCAAAAAGAATTCCCGGATGGTTGCAATGAAGAATCGAAAATTCATCACTGGGAAGAGAAACGCGTTAGATTCCTAGGATGTTGCGTAATTTTTCAACGAAAGATAGCGTTTGCACTTTTATTCAAATTTTTATATTCTATTCCTTCTTTGCACAAATTTGGTACTTTTGCCACTTTCAGCGCACGCTATTTTACACTTTTTTTGGTTTGAGCGCCTCACTGTACTACACTTCATGACTCGTTCAGCGAAATTTAATGCTTGTGAACTCTTACCACAACGATATTTTCTATAGAACAAGTTTTTCCTGTTTCGCTAGAACGTCTGTTAATGTGTCAACATCTCCTTTACAGTATACAATATTGTTCTTTGTTTAATGGATCATTTTCGGTCTCCTAATTGCACGGGTGTTCAGTATTTATTGACTGGTGACGTGGGATGTACATTACTCCGGAAGGTAGGTAACTAATTTTAAAACGGTCCTTTACACAGTAATGGTTATATTGGTTCCATATACAGTAACTAGAGTCCCAAACTGAGTAATTGAAAACCTCATTGATTCGAAGGCCCACCCCCCTCAAACCTCGTAACTCGTATTTTCTGGAGGACACCTGAATTATTTTATTGACGCAGTGAAAAAAGCAATAAAAATTCAACGTGATGTGATTCGGAAGAAGTGAAGACTGTTTGGGCACCCTTAGCCTCCAACTTGGGCATCCTGTCAACTCATTCAAAAAGCAATTTAAGGCCCAAAATACCCCCATTGAGTGCAATAACAATTTCCTTTAATTATTTCTTCCTCCCAAAAATGCTCGTTTCCCTTACTCGAACAGTTTGCTGGTTCCGTGATCAACTGTAAATGGAATGGCAGATTCATTTTAGGTCCTTCGGTACAGTATTTCCTTCGTGCGTTTTTGATGAATTTCCGAAGAAGAATATTTTCAACGTGACTCTCACGTCAGTAAACATATTCTGAAGTAAAAACATTGGAAGGCAGGAATGCCGATCAGTCGACACGAATAGAAAATATGCAGAAAGCTTTTACAATATTCACTTCGAATATGATGCCACATTTTCCACGTCGATTTCGAATTACGAGGATAATCGCTTTCTATGTCGTCTAAAATCTGAATCCGGGTCACCTAAATCAGTGTTCCCAAGTCCCAACCTTTTTGGGCCCACGGACCGGCATATTAACATGAAATTTTTTTGCTGGTCGGCAAGTTTCTCAAAAAATGAATAAAAATTCTGTGGACTGGCGAAGTTTCATAGAATTTTTTCAGATAAAAAAAAAATTGTGTAAGACTTCATGGCAGGTAATAGAAAGTATCTGTTCTTTTGCAACCAATGAAGCAGGCTAATGGAATGTCTTCAAAAATGATGAAGGTGGGCTTGAAGAAAGAATTATCAGAATGAAAAATTAAAATTATTTATTTCATCAGGTGAAAATTTGTCTGCAGTGTTATTGAAAGAAAACCAGCATTTATTTTTCATGCTATGATTTTAACTGCCCTTGTGTTTCCAAAATGTCAGAGAAAGATACTGTAACGTCCTTCATTGCTACTTTTGATTAATTTATCAAGCTAAAGAAAAATTTCCCGCGGACCACGGGTTGGGGAACACTGCCCTAAATACAGTACTGTACCGTATGCAATAGTATCGTCTGTTATCCGAAATAAACATACAGTATGTGAAAAAATCCTGTATACAATTGTATTGTAATACTTCTACAGTACTTGTAGCAGCGTTTTCGCGTCCTCTGGTATGATCTCAGGCATGGTTGAAATCTATCGATGTGCGCGTCTTTCATTTGCTGGACGCGTTGTATTTCTGTTTTCCACCTACAGTTTCTTACGTCTCTCCGGGTTGATTTTATTCATCACCCGTGAAATCTTTCGCATTTGCAGCGAGGCCTCGTCGACTACGAGGGGGATTCGGATGACGAAGAAACTGAGCGGGACGACGGTGACGCGGATTGCGAAGAGGAAGAAGAGGAGGAGGAAGAGGACGAAGAAGAAGAGACCGAGGAGGACGCAGAAGCCGAAACCAAACCCGAGAATCCCGACGAGTCAAAGAAAACCCCTGTTGCACTAGAAGACAAAGTGAATGGTTCAGAAGAGAAGGTTTCTTCTCCTCAACCCGCCAAAGACGCGGAAGTCGACGACAGCGCCCAAAAGGTTGCGTCAACCACAGCAAACGACATCTCGTCAGACGCTGTGGAATCAGCGACGGCGGTGAAACCGGAGGAGGAAGAAAAGCCTGTAATTGGCAATGCCGAACCAGCAGCAGTAGAAACTGTTCCGGAGATTGAATCGGCTGCTTCTGAAGAAGAGCCGCCGAAAGCTGAGGAGGAGACTGAAAAGCCAGTAGTCGAAGAAGAAGGAGAAGAAAAAGAAGAGGTGGAAACGGAGAAAGTGGTTGAAAAATCGCCGGAGGAGGAGGTGAAGAAAGAGGAAGAAAATTCGGTTATTGAAAAAATGGAAGTAGAGGAAGAGGAGGTAGAAGAGAAGAAGCAGGAGCCTGAGGAAATCGCACAGGAAAATCAAGACCCAGAGAAGACGACTCTGTCTTCATCCGACGAGGTAACGAGTGTCGTGGAAAAGTCTCCGCCACCCCCGGACAGAACGGGTTGCAAGCGCTCTCGCAGCGAACCCGAGGACGAACCCGTGGAAGTGACGACCCAAGCAGAGACGGAGGATTCGCCGCCGCCTGCGGAAGCGGATGCAAAACGTCCTAGAACGGAGTGATGCATCTCTGTTTCTCTCTCACTCTCTGCATTCTTTTTATTTGTTTGCCTCTGCTAGCTTTTGTTTCTCTCCCCGTCCCGTGCGATGAGGCTGGGCTTGGTTCGAGAGGTTTTTTCGTGTTTTTTTTTTTTGTGGATGCCGAGTGAAGAGGAGGCATTGGGGAGCGAGGGAACTTGAATGCGTTCCGTTTTTTGCTGGTTCGGCGAGATGATTAACTGCTGTGCGAATGATGAACAACGTGGAGAGTTTTTGAAAGGGGTGAATTTTTGTATCCGCTGTTCGGTCCGGAGATCGGGCGGCAAGAGTTTTCCACGTGTTGTGCCGCCGCGCATGTCTAATTCACATTTGTTGTTCCTCGTGGTTTCCGGCAATAAAAATCCGATCATCGTGGTTCCTTACGTGTTCCAACAGCAATGCTGAATTGCGAGGAATTTTCCCTCGATTTTTGAGACCGATAGAAGCGTTCGTACGGGGAATTTATTTTAGTCGCACTACGTCTCCGATGCCAGACATTCCTGCTAACTAAATTAGTTTCTTGATGAAAAATACAGTACCGTGCATATCCATATATATTTTTTATACATAGAGCGAACTCCGAAGTCTCTTTCAGGTGTTTGTGTCATCATGAATGAACGTAAATTAAATGTTATCACTCAAATCCACTTAAAAGAAGAGATGATTAAAAAGGAACCATGTTACTCCTCTGGCTCTCTGCATTGTGGCAGGAAGAGTAACGGTCTCAAAAATCATGGGATTTTTAAGCGTTTGTGATTGTTTGTACGAATCCAATAGAATCTTCAAATAGCAAGTAATTGTTTAATGAGAATTGGATTTGTAAGGTACCTCCACGATGCAGATGGAGGTGTTCTTTGAGTTTCCTTTTATTGTTGAACGATTTTATTTAACAGGGTTTAAATAATCCCCCATGACATTTTCACAATATTTTATTGAAACAGTTGTGTTCTGGAAAGTTAAGTATCTATCCAAACAATGAAATGAAGAAGTATCACATATTCAGATTGTTAGTCTCCAGTTCTTGGCATGAATTATTGGTTCAGTAGAGGCTAAGAATTCCATGTGAACCAAAACCTCTGGGATGCTATTGTTAGCTAAAGTTGAATAAAATTTAAACCATGTCAACTTTTGTGAGGAACTGTAGGCAAAATAATTCCAGAACTAATGTTTGTGAAGTGAACTTAGTGTCCACTTCTTACAAAATGTGACCATTATAAAGTGAGTTCCCACATAGGAAAACCATGCTGTCCCAGAAGATTGTTGTTGAGCAAAATATGATGAATTTTAAAATTTGTACTTGGTGATATGTGTCATTCGTGAAAAAAAGAGCTGTGGTTGGCTTTCAGATTTCTGCAACAGTTCGGTGGAAATTTTATTCATTTACAGACCTCAGAAGCAGCGTTTGTATACTACTATCACACCAGGTATCCACAGTAGTATATATCTGCTAGCTTCGGCTCACTCGATCCTTGCCGTTCTAATCTCATCAAAAACAAGCAACCATGCAAAAAGAACCTGCATCACTGATGTCATGAAATGATCATGTTTTTCCTACTTGATAATTTTTGGCAGGTGAGAAATATATCTCGTGATATTTAAATTCGATTTACACAGTACGTAAGTCCTATTTGGTGACATTTTTTCTGTGATATCTTTTTTCTATGACCAAATGTCTCTATGATGCATGCATCATGATTCCAAAATCGGGTTTACTTTTGAACTCATGCATTGTTGTGTGGTGTAAAACCCGTCTGTCAATTGTTTCTTATCTGTATCGTTAAACATAAGAAACAATTGACAGCCGATTACCTCACGACAGTGTGAACTCGAGTCCACATGCCAGGCCGTAATTCGTTTTAATTATTCTTTATGGTTTTTGTGTTTTCTTCAGGATTATCTCCGTTCCTGAAGAGTTCAAATTTTGACTGCTCTAAGAAGGTTACATTCACCCGGCAGCGACTCCAAAAAGCTCTTTGACATTATTATTGAACCCTGCTAAGCAGCAAACCGATGTACAGTATTGTACCATTCCCTCTGGCCGCCATATTGCGCCATTGTTACTATACTCATGCCGCCGAATTTCGCCGGAGTCTGCAGTGAACGCACAAGTGATCGATTTCCTGGAAACGTATTTATTATTCAAAAAGTTACTATCAAACCAGAATATAAATTGAATAGTTTTCGATGGCTACATTGTTTCTGTTTTAATGGCTTTAATATTGCAGTAGGAATAGCAGCAGCATCAGCACTCATCATCTTGGTGATTTTACGTACTTTATATTGATGAGACATTCTGAATACGTTCAAGCTCTTGGTGTATTTTTTCAGTGCGTAATGAGAATTATATGTATGTATAGATCATGGATGCATGCGTACAGTGGAAGCATTCAGCAGAATTCGTGATGCTATAAGGTAATGTATTGATGCGAAAAGCTTAAAAGAAATTTCTTGGAATGGAGGAAGCATTGAATTCTGCCTCTTCCTGGATCAGTTCGGGACCGGACAGCAGAGTGAATTATTATCTTGCAGTGGTTAAATCGTGCTTTTTGTGAAGGGCCACGCGCTTGCACGCGTCCTTATTGTAGGCGGGATTCACTTAATTGTTATTCTCGCGGTGTGGTGTAACGACACGCATGAGTGATTCTCGCTTCCGATGTGGATGGAAGCATCATCGTGATGCAAACCAGAAACCACAGCACCTTTTTTGATCATTACGATTAACTCGGATGAGTTCATGTAAAGAGGCGATCGAAATGCTTCGTTGGAGTTACACAGCAGCAGTACCAATTTTTCCGACTGAATCTTCACCGTTTCCGTGTTGCGTGAAGATTCATCCGTAAGTCAGTATACTGTGAGCTGTATGTACTGTACAGTATACAGTTATTAAAATTAGTGGATATATATAATATAGTAGTAGACCAGGTTTCTTTCGATATTCGTAACATTTTATTCGACCAACGTATCAACCAGGAACAGTATAGGAAAACACATGCAACAATTCTTGAGCACTTTGGTAACTCCGTTTCGTAAGTTCAACGATTGATCACAGCAGTGCAATAAGAAGGCAAAATGGTGACTCAGTGATGATGATGATGAGTGCAAGTCATATAGGTATTGCCGAAGCAAAAAGCGTTTGTGTCTGTTGCAAAACTGAACTGGGATATATGGTGCAAGATAATATTGATGAGAAGAAAAGTTGGTTCGGTCATATAGATCGGTGCTTCAGCTGTGAGAAAGAAGCGAACTCCGTGACTATTGGGTGTTCATCCTTGGAGGATAGACCTGCGATTGCGAAGCTCTGATGTGCGTAGGTTGCTGCTTTAGCGGCCAGAGCTGAAATCATGCAGACGGAAGATTAGGAGAATCAGAAACTTCTGTAATTTACAATTCTTCTCACCTGCTGCTGCTGCTGGGCTTCTTGTGAGCGTGCTTGTGTCCGTGCTTGTGTCCGTGCTTATGTCCGTGCTTGTGACCGTGCTTGTGTCCGTGCTTGTGACCGTGCTTGTGACCGTGTTTGTGGCCGTGCTTGTGCCCGTGCTTGTGGCCGTGCTTGTGTCCATGCTTGTGGCCGTGCTTGTGCTTGTGCACATGAGCATGCTTGTGTTTGTGTGAATGAGAATGCTTGTGCTTGTGCAGCAACACCCTGTATGGAAAAGCAGAACATACATATGATGTAAATGATCATGTAAATGAAGGCAATCTGCAATTTCTCATGTATAAAGCTAGAACAAATTCAACTGAAGCGCGCGAAATTACTTTGAAGTAAGTGCTGTAATAATTCGCAGAAATTTATAGAATTTTGCCGTTCACCAATGCGCAGTGTTTTTATTGCCAGAATTCAAATACAGTACTGTATTTGTAAATTGGGATGTGAGACGAACTTTTTTCGAGACTGTTGCATCTCAATAAGAAAATCTACCGAAACTCATTTACAATTCAAAGTTATCTAATTTGCTGGTATCGATAAGAGTTGATGGAATCTTGAGCAAAATCCCTCCATCGTTAATTTGTTCGCAGTTCAAAGGCATGAAATAATTTCAATTACAGTATGGGGTTTTTGAAGTGTTCTTTGAAGTATTGAGTCACGGCTGCATGATATGAAGCATGGAAGAATCAACTGATGCTGAATCCGCTCGTCGTGACTTTTTTTTTTTTAAAGGAAATTGCGTTTTATATTTGCCTATCAAAATTGCCATCATTATTTGAAGCGAAGAATCGAAGTGCATGGTATATTCGATGGTGTTATAATTTTGAATGCATTTTGTCTCGTAATTCGGGGAATAAATTCGCCATGAAACTAAACTTGCGCTGCCTCGGTGAAATTTCGGACAGTTGACGTTAATTTTAAATTGAACTTGAATATTTCGCTCGATCAAAAAATGACGGTTGTTCATTTTTACTCACTTTGAGCCAGAGCTGGAAGATCCCGGGTACGCAAATGCATTCGGCTCGGGATCAGCCAGCGCATTGGGTTCAGGCTCAGCATTGGGAGCAGCCCAGGTGGTGTAGCAGACGCAGGCAAGAACAGCAAGGAGGAACACAGTATGCAACTAAACATACAGTAAAGAGAGAAAAAATAAAACACTTCCATTCACTCTCTTTCAAATCCACACTGAATTTTCGCCAGAAAGCTTCACCTTCATGTTGATGAGGTTTTTTTTTTAATTTTTTGGTTCCTCCTTAGGATTTTTTTCTTCTATATAGTTGAAAGTGCTGGTGACTGGATATGGTATATAGATCCGAACAGGATGAAGCGAGTGGATGTGATGATGGTTAGTCTGGCAGTGCACCCAGGGTTTTATACTCGCGCTCGCGCGACTGGGTATGTGCTATCGCGAAATTTTTATTGCCCCAGTGTGTTGTGTGTGTCTCTTCCTGTATGATGGAGGCTTGCGTTTCGTTTCTTCGCTTTGCGCGCGCGGGCATTCAGCACGCTATACCACACATGTTGCGCATGCTTGATTGGGAAATATGCGAACAGGAAGGAGAAGCAATCTGCGCTTGCTTATGCGCTCTCGTCTGAGACACTCGTAAAGAGATGATGAGCGTTATACACGAGTTTACATGCATTGAAATGCTGTATGCAGTATATTGGCAACGATGAGAGGGGTAGTGTACAGTATGCAAGTATTTTGGAAATTTACAGTAGTGGGTGATGTCGTCGGCATGGAACGAAATTAATTCGTTTTTGATGATGATCGGTGTGTTTCGTTATGCGAAACGCGATTTCTCTTGAGGTTACATTGTGCATTACTTGATTTACTGTATTATTTACTTGAGTATTCTGTACCATGATGCACCCGAGTTTAAAGACATTATTGAGCCTTGATTTTTTGGTGCAAAATTCGGCGAAAAATCCATCCCTCGACCAGCAGATGCGCACCCCATATTCCAAAATGCGAGTTTCCAGAAGGTTGTATTGTAAATACTTTACGTTACTGTATTTTCTTGAGTATCTCTCTCGAAGTATTTCTGGGCTATGAAATTTTGTTTGGTGAAATATTTTTGTTGTGTGCGTAATTTTTGCCCATTGAAAAAGAAAATTTTATGCACTTTTCTCGTTGTGCGGGTCTTTTTTTGTGAAGGGAATTGCTGTACAATCATTTTCGAAATCAATTGTCAACATGCGCATGCAATTGCTGCTCTTCCAAATTGCTAATATGCCTCCTGTGTTTGTAACCTTCCAGAACGAATAAGTCAAGTATTGCTTATCGTCCCGCTGTAGAGATTTTTGCTTCATTCCGAAGTTTCAACGCACCCAAGATTGATCATTCAAATATAGTGGCTCCCTTTGAACGAAGTCTCGTCTTATCCAGGTAATGAAAAAAATAATCGATTTTCTCATGCTGGGTCGAATGCAAGTTTTTGTTGTCCAGTACTGCCCAGGTTCATTTTATCGCCGCACAATTGCAACAAAACGTCGCTTTCGAAAATATGTGGTGCACAAAAAATGATGTGAGTCGTCGTCGTTCTATGTGCGGAAGGACTTCGAAAGCTATACTTTAATTGGCTACATGAAGAGTATGCCTCGATGGCCTGAATATTAATACTTTAATATAGTCCACCTCAATTATTATTTCGTAAAACTTTCTTGAAATCTGAGTACCTCGAATCCGTCGACGATTTCTTTCGAAAGAAAATTTATTTGAACTTCACTTAGAAATCCCAAAGACGTTGTTTTCAATTGTAATTCAGTGCAGAAAGGAGCTGCGAGAAAGTCTCTTTGATATAAAAAAAAAAAAAGAATTCTGCGATCTAAAAAGTTTTTTGTGGCATAGCAGGAGCTTTGATATTTAAAATCAGTCGAATATCTTTTTTCCATTTGCATAATTTTTATTTCTTTGTTTTGGCAGAACATATTTGTCATTGAGACTAATTTTCGGACGGATTTTCTGAAGACATTTAAGAAAAAAATTATAATGTGTGACTTGATTATGTGTATACCGTACTTACTGAAATTCTTGATCAAATACCGGACAACTTATCGTAATGAACGTGTGCACTTGCTGGGTGGATTTATCTGACGGCTTTCTTCGAGTTCATCAATTTTTTTTTGCAGCGTGGCGATAAATGTGACAAAAATAATTCAATTTTAGTATGTAGCTCTTATTTTCTGAAATGCTGTGATGTTTTGATCTCTCTGGAAACCGATTGCGGGTTCGCCGACATTTTTTTTCGTTCGCGGAAAAGCTGCATAATCTAATTTCTAGCTTTTCTGCAGAATAACTTGTTCATTGTATTTAAGCGGCCTTTTTTCCGACGTTTTGAATAAAAAACGATGTCTTGAGAGGTCCTTGGATTATCTCGATCCCTCGTTATGTTCATTGGAATCATAAGCGTTCAGGATTTTGTGCAAATTCAAATCGATTCACAAGAATGAGAATGCCTGAGAAATTGTATTTCCTATTAATGATGATCGAGAGTCGTTGCTTCAGTGGGGAGAATCAATTCTTCTATCTTCATTTACGTACACATGTATAAACCAAAAAGCGTATATATACAGTTTTAAATTACGGTGCGTTATTTACTTGTCGATGTGAACTCTTTCTGAAATCCCCCTTATTTTAGCTGTCTTCGTCGGAGCAATAAATCAATGAAAACAGGCCAATTCGTACATTTTTTCCAATCAAGAATTGCGGAACTATGTAGGGAAGAATAAAAGCTGCATCCTGCCACTATACAGAATAATTCCTCTCTTAGCTTATTTTCTGTCCGAAATTTCAAGGAAATACTGTATTTCCAGAAAACGGTCTCAGATCATTTTTTAATTTAAGTGGAGCCCCGTAGAACAGCCTCTCCGTATAACGGCCAAATATATGATATGGGGAGGAAAAATCTGCCTCATACAGCGGCCACTGCTTCCCATAAGTGTTCTTGCAAAACGTTTGACGAGAGACGAAAACCTAGGAGTTCTGAATTTGTATGATTATGTGTTCATCTTTGTTTATAGTTATACAGTTGAAACTCTAATTCGAATTTGAAGGGACTCGGAAAATTTTTACTTGTACAGTTTTTGAGTTATGGAGTGTTGTTTCATTTTGTAGGTTGATCACTGGATTTTATTTTCTGATCAAATGATGAGAACTGTTCATATATATTGGTTAAATCAATGCACACGGAAGCATGCCAATGACATTGGGAATCAAAAGAATAGAGCTGGATAATTATATTTTTTATTTATTCCAATTAAGAAAGGCGGAGACCTTTAATGAAATACTCAAGCAGCAAAGCTCATTATACACTTTGACGCGTTGCTTTTTGTGTGATCTATACTCTGTATGTATGAAAATAATTCATTCAATTCATGTTCGGAAGGTGCATGTATTGCGACATCCCCCACGATTCCGAATAAAATACGTTTTTCGGCAGTGAAATTGTATTCGATTATGAAAAAGAAAAGTTGGCGCCGCGTTGAAATATCGCTGGAGCAGCTTATAGTGTGTAGGATATATATATATATATAATATATAAGACGTTACGAAATTTAGATAACTTGCGAACTTCCCCTCGCGGACAGCTGGACGCAATTACGAGTTTGTTTCGACTTTTCTCTCTATCGCCTCTCTATTTTTTGTTTGTAATTCTCCTTCATATTCTTTCGGTATGTTTCATCTGCGCGTGTTGTTGATTGGTGTTATGCGGAACGGCCGGCGGGATGCGGAAATTCCGAAATGTAAATCATTCGCTTCGTTTCCTGTGCATTAGTAGTACGTGTTTTCTAATTGCAATCATGAGTGTGCTGCTGTTTATATTCGCCATGTAATGAATGGCGTCCGGAAAAGTGACTTTTTGCGCGACATCGCCGCGGGGGAAATCATTCGTTGACGTAAGAATAATCGCGGGAACGCTCGTCTTTTCCGCGGCTTCGCGTGTTCCCGGGGAACCTACTTCTTCCGTATAGTGTATATAGTGCTGATGGACACGGAAATATTTCCTCCTCTCCCCGAAGCGATGCACAATTTTAATAATTTTAATCCTACTGGAATTATTGCGGATACTCGTGTTCCGACTTCCGGTATGGCGTATGTATGATGATGATGATGATGGGTGAGCGAGATTATAGTAAGTTCAAGGCGCAGTTCCGTTACGTCATCGTGCTTGTATCACGTGTGCATCGACACGACGGCGAGAGAGAAGAAAATCGCACAGATTTATACGGTATACTGTGAGTCCTCGAATAACGAAAGACACACATCACAACGAAAAATCCGCGTTACGAAAATTCTCGAGGAGGATAACTACGTGACTCACATGACGAAATTTTTTCACTTGATGAAATTTTTTGCCGGAAAACGCTCGAGTTTTGGGCTAATAAACGTTGGAATTTTTCAATAGAAACGCGGAAAAAGTGTAAAATATGGGCATACATTGTTTCGCCTCTTCTATAGTTTTTAACATTACAGTATTTGTGAAATTCAAAAAGTTGGTACTGTGGCAAAAGCGTGTAGGATCACTTAAATTCAACGCAAATCAATATGAAATTTGCAAATGTCTGCGGATAATAACTGAGAAACTTCGCGTGTTCCCGGGGAACCTACTTCTTCCGTATAGTGTATATAGTGCTGATGGACACGGAAATATTTCCTCCTCTCCCCGAAGCGATGCACAATTTTAATAATTTTAATCCTACTGGAATTATTATTGCGGATACTCGTGTTCCGACTTCCGGTATGGCGTATGTATGATGATGATGATGACGGGTGAGCGAGATTATAGTAAGTTCAAGGCGCAGTTCCGTTACGTCATCGTGCTTGTATCACGTGTGCATCGACACGACGGAGAGAGAGAAGAAAATCGCACAGATTTATACGGTATACTGTGAGTCCTCGAATAACGAAAGACACACTTCACAACGAAAAATCCGCGTTACGAAAATTCTCGAGGAGGATAACTACGTGACTCACATGACGAAATTTTTTCACTTGATGAAATTTTTTGCCGGAAAACGCTCGAGTTTTGGGCTAATAAACGTCGGAATTTTTCAATAGAAACGCGGAAAAAATGTAAAAGATGGGCATACATTGTTTCGTCTCTTCTAGTTTTTAACATTACAGTATTTGTGAAATTCAAAAAGTTGGTACTGTGGCAAAAGCGTGTAGGATCACTTAAATTCAACGCAAATCAATATGAAATTTGCAAATGTCTGCGGATAATAACTGAGAATATTGTATAGTCTTTCTAAATACTGTAGTATGCGCGTTCATGAAGAACGTACATTAAGTGCCTCAAATCCAACCAAGTTTACTTTTTTCGAAATTCTCTTGACGCCATCCGCATTTTGAAATTTGACAATTTGATTAATGATGTGCACAGGGTACATTATAGCATAGAATACCTGACTGGAATGAATTTAAGATAATGTACTGTATAGTGTAATGTACTGGCTTATTTGAGGTGAAAACTCGTTGGTTCAATTTTCCTCCTCTTGCAATTCGTAGACACTTCACAGTCACCAATGTGGCGGCTGTGAAGGCGGCTGTTGATGAAAATGGCGGAATTGCCTTGGATGACCTGGAGGCAACCCTTAGAAAGAATGCCAAGTTGATTTCAAAAATTCTGAGGAATTTCGGAATTTCCGCATCCCGCCGGCCGTTCCGCATAACACCAATCAACAACACGCGCAGATGAAACATACCGAAAGAATATGAAGGAGAATTACAAAAATTCTGAGGGGAAAGCTGGGCTACAACAAAAGAAGGGCGCCTAATCTTTTGAGTGGAGAGCAAAACTCTGCCAGGGTGAATTATGAAAAAAATTCAAAAAATTTTTTCAAACAGGGCTGATATTTTTTTGTGTGCCAAAGAATATATTTTCCCTAAAGAAAAAACATTTTTTCAGCTGAACTGTAGGCCATTTTCATAGCTACTCAGAAAACTTTTGTTAGAACCCTCGTATTGTATATGCTGGACACCAATATAAATTTTTTTCTTATCATTATTGTAGAAATCTTGGCGCAATAACTGATATGTCCTATAATTCTAAATGTACTGTTTCCAGTTTTTAGTAGCGATTCCTAAAAATTGACATGAAAACGGATCCACGCGTTAATAATGAAAAAAATTCAATAATTATGCAGTCTTCTGTATTACAGTACTGTATATGCTAAAAGCGAATTGAAGGATCGCTCAACTTTTATGAGGCATCAGATACCTGTGCTATATATCTCCTTGTGTGATTTATATTCTAAGATGTTGAAATTATTCAAGTTTATTCAATTACTCTTGTGATTGATCCATTTTTTCGTGGTTATGAAAATAAAATTATTCCCTCACAAAAAGTTGTCACTTCCTTTCTGTAATATTGATTGATGGGATTGATGGGTTACCCAGCAAAAAATTTTGGAGTTGGGTGGCTACTTGCCAGCGTGCTGCCGGCGCGCCAGCATTATGCGTCGGCCCCAACTCCCAATGTGTCTTTTTCCAGCTCCCTTGGGTGTCGGGGTACCTGTCTATTGCAGCGTCCACCCGACGCCCGCGCATCCTGCACCACATCATCCCCTCCCCATACCCGTCGTTTAGGTGTTGCTTTTGACTAGCTGAATAGCTAACCATGTGAGGCATGGTATCTTCTACCATTATTCAAGTTTATTCAATTACTCTTGTGATTGATCCATTTTTTCGTGGTTATGAAAATAAAATTATTCCCTCACAAAAAGTTGTCACTTCCTTTCTGTAATATTGATTGATGGGATTGATGGGTTATACACTTGTGCTTTCAAGCGTCTAGCAGTTTTCGAGTCAGATGCAGTGTTTTTGTAACTCTGAATGTTACTTATATAGTTATATGGTTCAAACTTTCTAGACTGCCTTCTAATTGTTCTGTGACTCTGTTTTGATGGAACAATCTTGCTTTTATTAAAAAGTGTACTTTTTAATCATATAGTTTTGCCTCTATCTGTCTCTCACCTAGATGAACTATAAAGAAAGAGAACGGAATTATTATTTGGATAGCATATAGATTTGGAATAACATATCTGCACATGACTGCTACATCACACGTACTGTTTTCGAACCCAATGAGATCATCAAGACAGTAATTTCAATACTTCTGGTAATTGAACACCTGCTCAATCTGTGAAGGTTTTTGAATTTATATAAGGCTGCTATACTTTATTGATTAGAAAAAAAAGAATTGTAGTGCTCGCAAGAATTTGAGTATGGATGCTGGGGACCTTAATTGATCTTATATGTACAGGTATACCCTGAAAACAATTTGGACAGTGATGAAGGGGTTTTTGTGTGTTTTTAATTACTATAGTTGTTCTTGGTCCGAAATTATTGTCTCATCCTTTATACTGTATATATACTGTATACGCCATTTCATCCTGGATAAAGCAGTCTATGGCAACAAATATAATTAAGAATGAAACTATCTCATAAGAATGAGAATTCACTTTAACCCCAGGGATATTTGAATATGCCAAGAATAGCCAAGATCCACAAAAATACCTTGAAATCTGATGTCACGTCATCCTAAGAATCTCGTAATTTTTAATGATTGATATATATGAATCATATATGATATGTCTGTGTTATATGGAACAATTTTGTCGTGTACAGTATTTTTTTATGGACACTGTAATGTGCAAATAATTGATGTTGAAGCATGTGACTATAAACTTTATCCTCAGTTCATAATTTAAAAATAAGTGAATGAACCTGTTCTTAAAGTCGTATGCACGCAGCTTAAAAAAATAACATGCAATATGCGGTACTCGGTACACTATAAAGTACCGTATTTAAAAAAAAGTTTTACCTTATTTGCACGGAAATCCGTGCTTTTCACCAGATGTCAGGTGTGATCGTCATGCATGATCCCACGTTTGCGGTGTTGTTCATTCAGACAATGATAAATTGCGAAAAACGAACAGTTCCGATCGAGAAGGCTTGATTCCGTCGGATGAATCGTGTGGCTTTTTGGTTGTGGGGTGTCTAGTTTCAGTCTGGGTGATTTTTCATTATTAATTTTCTGCGCAGAGCTTGATGATTGTGAGTGCAGTTTTGAATTATGTACTGCAGTTTTCCCGAGAGTCGGAAATATGCCGCGTGCCAAACGTGATTCCGTGCGACGATTATTTATATCTTTCAAGTTAATTTAGTGCAGATTAAAGCCCGAGAAAATGATTCTATTCGATCTGCGCAACCGGAGGCACACAATTTATTTCAGGGCGTTTCAGTGGCTTCTATACTCACATCAATTCGCCCGGTTTAATGTACAGATCTGGGAGCTATCGAACTTCAGCGATCCACTGGGAAACCTCACTATCGTTTCCAAGCGCGCGGCCATTTTTCTCTCCTGCTGCCCTCTATCCATGACTGTGCAGTTCCCATGGCTCTGGCAACCCTGCTGTTGCAAAGCGGTGGGGCGCGGCGCTTCTGGAAGCGGGGTGAAGGTGACGCTAGCAGTGGGGTGCAGTAAGGCACTTATATTGCTTACAGGCGCGACATCTATCCTCGACATGTTACTGTCAGTCAACCCTCCCAACAACCGTAGTCTTCTATCTCTAGAAAGTCTAGATCTTCAGCACGACCGAGAACGCCACAGGTTAATGACTCTAGTTCCATACCCTGACTTGTAAAGTCCTCCTGACTTCAAACCTTGACTCAGTGTTGTGTTGTGGTTGATGAAATAAACTATGTATGAAAAGCCGTGATCAAGGACTTTATTACTCCAAATCCCTTACTGTGCGGCGCTGCTGGCGGCGCGGCACTTCTGGCAGCGCGGCAAAGGTGTCCAAAGCAAAATCATATTCTGAACGCTGATTATTATTTTTTCTCTGGTCTAATTAAGGGTGTCCGGTTAATTTTTTTCCGTGTGAAGGCTGTAGAAAGAAGCAGTCCTTGAAAATTTTTTTTAAAGGTATAGTGCGTGCGGAGTGATTTTGTGTGCAATTGTGCTTTCATGAGTGCTGCTGAAAAGTTCATCAGTGTTAGCAAATGTGTGTGAGCGAAGTTGATCAAAGGTTTGTTCACATTGCATTTCAGCTTCTTCTTATTCGTGGTCGCGATTGTCGTCTTCGTAATTCTCTTGCTAGTTCCATGCGCGTTTTGCGAAAGGCTGATGCTATTGGTAGTGATCTCAAGCAACCTATTCCTGTGTTGATGTTCTTTCTAAACGGGAAAGTCTAAATCACCGCGCGTGATGAAAGCAATCGCACCATTCCGTCTCATGTGACGGGCAACAAAGAGTTGATCGGAGATGCAGCAAAGAATGTCTCCGTGAACCCAAGCAACTTAGTCCTTGGTAAGTCGGGTATTTTTGGTTTTCTGACATCTTATTCGCACTGTGATGAAAATGTTGTTGATACCTTCGTAGTTTTCCATCAAGAAGCGAGACCTGCTTTCAATGAAGCTTATTTTTCCTTGAGTGTTCAGAAAAATTTAATATATTCTGCCCGCAGTAGTTTATCTCTGATTTCGTGACTGACGTGAGTTGATTTATCGTACAGAGATGAGAAGTAATTGATTGGTAGGAAATTCACGGACTCCAACTTTTCAAAGCAACATGTCTCTATGGTCTGAGCATTCTTTGAACCGTATCATCAATGAGGACAGGAATAAGGTATACCTACTGTTCTGTAAAAGAACGTGTATGCTGTGATGAAAATCTGCGGATACAATCGTGGTTTGCCACTGATGAGCTAGACCTGCTTTCCTTGAAGTTTTCCTTCCTTGGACGTCTGAAATGATGGAGGATTAGAATAGTGACATATCGTGTATATCGCCCCTTGACCGTTCGTCATTCTGTCCTGGTGGGCGGGCAAAATGAAACCTCGAAACCATGTTAGTGGGCAAGATATGTAACCTGTGTTTGTGTTCACCGGTTATAAATGCAGGATGACCAGCAGAGTGGTTGTTAGTGCCAAGAACTGATTGTAGTGGTACGTTTGCTCAAAACGTCCAACCAGGGATGATTAATAACTGAAGGATGAGGAACTTATATCCTTGAGGACTCACAATCACAATGCTTCAAAAAGGGTGTACATGGTGGTTTAAGGCGTGTTTGTGAAATGTGGATACAGTAAGTTTTCTGCACACGTTCTGACTTGGTAAACTGATAATTGATAGAATTTAGGGAAAATTTGCTGTTTGTTTCATAATTTCCGTAATGAGGTACTATGTTTCCAGTCCTCAGGACTGCCAACAACTGCCTCTACCAAGATGGTCCTTGGTAACGAAGGACAATCTTGGTCCTAGATCTAGGACCATCTTGGTAGATGCAGTTGTTGGCAGTCCTGAGGGCTGGAAACATAGTACCTCATTACGGAAATTATGAAACAAACAGCAACTTTTCCCAAAATTCTATCAATTATCTGTTTACCAAGTCAGAACGTGTGCAGAAAACTTACTGTATCCACATTCCACAAACACGCCTTGGTCCTTGGTAACGAAGGACAATCTTGGTCCTAGATCTAGGACCATCTTGGTAACCTTGGTGGCATTTTACTCATATTCCTCCTGTTTTTCCTAAAGTCTTTTATTTTGTTGGTTTCATGCACCCATTTTTAAACTTTTTGGTGTGCATATTGACATGTAACTGCAATTATTCACTTGGAAGACACTGTACTCATTATTCTAAATTTTTTGTGTTCAGTAGAGGC